GTTCTCTCCATTTTTATCAATAATAAATGATAGAAATGCCACATGCAGAGTCCCAGCCTTCTTCTCCCTGGGTATCCTCAAGATTTTCCACCCAAAATTTCCCAGGCAGAATCTCTTTGGGATAAGAGCGCTTAGGCTATAGTTAGAGACTGCGGCTCCTCATACAAGGAGAAAACAAGAGGAAAGAGAAATAGTTTATCTTTTCCTAACAATTCCATAGGGTTCAGCGTTTATCTTTTCCTAACAATTCATTGAACCAAGCATGTCTGCTCAAATTGTGAATGAGACATGCAAATGGAAGAAACCATATGAATAGCAAGTGTATTGGAGGAGTTTGAGGCAATGACAAAAGCAGTGTAAAATTTCAGATGTAAAGGCTGTTCTGCCTTGCAGGTGACCTTCATCGAGAAGAGCTATAGGACTATTGAGTTGAGGAGAAAAGGGATTGTGCTTTTGAGCACAGGATCTCCAGCTTTATTCGCAACTCCTGCTGTGATCTCCTTCACGGAGGTGCCTCCTTGTTAGTCTTTGATGGCTGGGAGGTGTGAGCAGAACCAAGGTATTGATACTTTTGTGGTTCCCCCCTTGATAGGAAAACGTGAGGGAAAAAATTGTACAGTAGGTAATGTTTCATTTTTAAAACAGCATTGCATAAGAAGCATGAATAGATTTTTTTTGGGGGGGGGGGGGAAGGAAAGTTTCAGCGTTTCTGTAAACATTGGGACAATGTGATGCAAAGCTCTCTTTCCAACACAGGGGAGACCTTTCCTGTTCTTTCACTTCTCTCCCAGGATTCCTTAATTTGTTTCAAAAATTCCTTCAGTTAAAGTGGAACATTATTTGTAGCAGCGAAAGTGATATTTTAGCTATGCAGATGGATTATCCTGGTTTTATTGGGATTGGAAGACACCAAAGAGTTCCAAGTTTGTTTATTTCACCAACAAGATTCAAAAAGACAGGTCACATTGCATCTGATCCCTTTGAAGGATACTCGGTGACCAGGAGCTGATCAGGATTGGCCTGTGGAGAAACCAAGAGGTCCCTTGGCCTGAGTCTCAAGCTCCAAGTGACTCGGAATTTAAATATGTGCAAAATTTCTACAATTTAAAATAGTAAAATGCTTAATATGTTTAATCACTTTTCCTTTTTCTCTTTCTTTGGTGTGTCATATTTTAGTGCACATCTTTATCATGTCTCATTTTATTATGGTTAGGAGTTGGAAACTCTTCCAATGATCCCAAAGCCTCTGAATCTCTTAAATAAGGCCAACCTAAGAGTCAGAGGGAATGATCTACATGTCAGAGTTCCAAGTAACAGGCCCAATGAAATCAAAACTCTACGGCTTGAACTCTCCTCAAAGTAATTGTTTATTAGGAATGCCATATTGGCATAGTTGGTGAACAGCCAACTCTGAAGGACATGAGGTTCTCCCCACCCAAATCAAAACCCAAAGTTCTTGTCCCTTGGTCACAGACCTTCTTCGGCTATCTTGGTCCACGCCCTTCCAAATGCCTGGTGGGGAGATCCTTGGCTCCCATGGGAAAGAATGTTATTTATAACTCCCCCAGTTATCTCTACCTCCTCCCTCATATTCCCCCAGCAGCAACTGACTTGCTATGGCAGCCCTGAAGATTTTCAAAATAGTTTCAGGGCTGACAGCATGTTTTAGTTAACCCTAGAGGAGAAAAGCACATCCACCCAGAATCATAGGAGCTTGTATGAAACTGAGGGAAGATTAGGGGAAAGAGGGGGGAGAGGGCAAAGGGTGCTCACATCACCTGCCTCTTCGGAGTGTCTTGCACGCACCAGCCCTCATGGCCGACATTTAAACAAAAGGATGTTTTTGGTGAACAGAGGTGCAACCCCATGAGATGCTTGGGAGTGAGGGGCGGGGGTCCTCAGCCTCCAAATAAGGTTTCTTTTACACCGGTCCTTTTTCATCAACCATTGCTTCCCACGCTTGTCCTTCCTACAATCCCGCTCACCTCTCAGGTTCACTCTCTCTCAAGTGCCCATTGCTCTCAGTATTGCTGTTGGGGTTATCCCCTTTGTTGTCTCCGTTGGAGCGCTATATGGTGCTCCAAAGCCTGCCGCTATTGCCTCCTCCCTCACAGAGAGGCTGAAATGCGGAGGGCTGAGGGTGACATTGTGTTTTCCCCACCAGCGCCATGGGTAGACCATGAAGTCGCTGAAGCCCAGGATGGTAGGTATAGGTGGCGGTCATTCTGTTCAATGCTGCCGCCCACAAAGATAAGGTGGTGGAGGGAGACCTGTTCTGGGCCTGCCGTGCTCAGCCGAAGGGTACAGTCCATCTGGGCGGGGGGGAGGGCGAGGCTCGGCCACCTTTTGCCTGGCTCTTGGCTTGCACAGGGCCTCCAGGTGGCTGCCACCTGCTCGTCCTCCCTCCCCTCTGTTTTGGGTCTCATATCTAGCCCACAACAAGGGGATGTGCCGCTTTCAGGCCAGCCTGGCCAGCAGGTAGGTAAGCAGGTGGCCCTCAGAGGAGAGTGCTGCACTGGGGCTGAGTCCGCTGTATTGCTAGAAAGGATGGGAGGAAAGGAGAAGCACAGAGGGACTTCCTCTTCTGGATGACCGATGGGAGGAAGGTGGTGTGCACAGTGGCTTTTGTGCTCTTCTAAGGAGCAAAGCAGCAGCTGGAAGGTGAGTTGAGGCTAGGCTGAAGCATAGCAGCTGCTGCTGCATGTTCCTTCCCTCCCCAAATTGAAGCCCACTGGTACTGTAAACTCTGAAACTGGTGGCTGCGATCTTCTGGTGGGAAGATTTTAAAAATCTGTTTCAAGGTAAGGTTGATTCTTTGGGAATGGCTTCCCCTCCACATGTTGTCAGTGCTCCATGACTGGAATGAGCTGAAACTTCTGTCCCTATCCTCTGCTCATTTCAGACAAGTGGCTGTGCAGTCTCTCTTTTTAAAAGCCACCACTGATGGAGCACCCACAACTCCTGAAGACAAGCTGTTCCACTCGTTAATTGTTCTCACTGTCAGTATTGTGTCATGGGAAAGGAGTTTGTCATAACAGGAAGTTCTAGGTTGCTTCTCTCCTTGATTAGCTCCATCCATTGCTTCTTGTCTTGCCTTCTGGTGCTTTGGAAACTAAGTTGACACCCTCTTCTTTATGTCAACTCCTCAAGTATTGGAACTCTGTTCATCCATTCAGTGTTTGTATTTTTACTTCCATGTCTTGCCAATAAGTATGGTTATTTTCTCTGTCATCCATGTATTAACCAGGTTCAATTATGCTTAATCCAGCGTTTTCTAATAAATAGCTATTGAGGACCTTTTGGCATCTTTCATTGCACAGGTACTTCTCGCCACTTCTTCCCTGAGCCTTCAAAGTTACTATGACATGGGATGTCAGCAGAGGGGTTGTGGAAAGTGTTTTCTGCTCTTATTTGTAGCGGAGGGCTTCCATGAGCCAAAAGTGTTGCTTCAAATCTTGCAGAGGCTTTAGGCATCATTTCATCAGTTTAAACCCACAGACCCCTAAATTTAGCTCAGAAGGTTTGACTGTAACCTTTTTGGGATATTTTGTCAGGTTTGAAAGACAGATTTTCACCATGTATACATACATACATATGTAGGTGGATGTATCTATTTCTTTCTACAGGCATATATCTGCAATTATATAACCTATATCCAGCACTTCCAGATATATTTCATGGTCACACTTTGCATTGCTAAAAAAAAATTGTGATTGACCCCAATCAACAACTGAATTTGAATGGAAATTTGAACATGGAGCTCAGTAGTCCTCCATGTATCAAATGAACCATAAATAATGTAAGAGATTATTCCAGTGTAGGGGCATGTTTCTTTTTCATTGTAATATATAATATAATATTTATGTTATGTAATATAATTTCTTATTTTTTCACATCATCTCTAACCATTTTATAAACAATTAAAGTTCCGCTTTTCTTTGAATCTTACAGACAAAGAAGATGGCAATAAGAGCACTCAGGACAACTGTAAATAACAAGCGACATTGAAAATCGAAGAAAATCAAGCCAAAAATCGAAATATTTTCCATTTCCTTCAGAAACCACACACAATTCTCCTCCTCCTCCAGAAGTTTTGGCAAAAGAGAGAAAATCAAGAAAGAATAAACAGATTATGCAGAACTCAAGGATAAATTACGTGAAAAGTCAAGGGAGGTTCATTCAGCAAAAGAGAAATATTTGGAAGTCAGTGGGGAGGAAAAGGTCAATAACAAAAGTCACGTAGAACACACAGGAATGCAGGCCTCTCCTTGTGAGGAAGAAAACTGCTTGAATTAAAGCACCACTAAACAAGACGTTGTCCATATTTTTGTCGTCCTCAAGAATATCAGCTATGGAAAAGCTCCATAGATTTGCCTATTGTGGGAAAAGCACAGGTTGCACATCACAGCTGATTATGTACTAGAGGAGCCAGAAAGGAGAAAAGCCATAAAAATTACCTCAATGCGGCCAAATCTTGTCAAAAAGCTCCCTTGGGGTTCATGGAAGCACCCACACAAGAGAGAAGCCATAAAAGTGCTCCCAATGTAGTAAATGCTTTAGTGAGCATAGCAATGTGGTTATACATCAGAGGTCTCATAGCAGGGACAAAATGTATGAGTGTGCAGATTGTGTGAAAGTTTCATTAGAAATTCCCAGGTCATGAGGCACCAAAGGACTCACACACAGGGAAAAACCATTTGAATATCTTTTGTGTGGGAAAAGCTTCAGTGAGAATTCCAGTCTGGTGAAGCATCCAAGGACTCACACAGAAGTGAAACCGTTTGGATATCCTGATTGTGGAAAAATTTTCAGTCATAATTCCATTCTGATTATACATCAGTAGATTGACTCTAGGAAAAACTGTATGAGAAAAGGGATTATGGGAAAAGCTTCATTAGAAATTTCCATCTCACGAGACACCAGAGAACTCACACAGAAGAGAAACCCTCTGAATGTCTGATTATGGGAAAACTTTCAGTTGTAATTCCAACTTGGTGATACGCCAGAGGAATCACAAAGGAGAAAACCCTTTCACTGTCCTGACTGTGGGAGAATTCTCCATGGAGAAACCCTATGAGTGTCGAGAATGTGGGAAAGGTTTTATTAAAAATTCCCACCTCATGAGACACCATAGGACTCACACAGGAGAGAAACCTTTTGAATGTCCTCTCTGTGGGAAATATTTTAGTGATAATTCCAGCCTGGTGAAACACCATAGGACTCACACAGGAGAGAAACCCTTTGAATGTCCTCTCTGTGGGAAACGTTTTAGTGATAATTCCACGCTGGTGAAACACCAGAGAACTCACACAGGAGAAAAACCTTTTCAGTGTCCTGATTGTGGGAAACGTTTCATTAGAAATTCCCACTTCATGATACACCAGAGAATTCACACAGGAGAAAAACCATTTGAATGTCCTATCTGTGGGAAAAGTTATAGTGATAATTCCAGCCTGGTGAAACACCAGAGGACTCACACAGGAGAAAAACCCTTTGAATGTTCTGACTGTGGGAAAAGATACAGTCAGAATTCCTACCTGGTAATACATCAGAGGATTCACACAGGGGAGAAACCCTTTGAATGTCCTGACTGTGGAAAAAGGTTCAGTCAGAATTCCTCTCTGGTAGTACACCAGAGGATTCATACAGGAGAAAAACCCTTTGAATGTCCTATCTGTGGGAAAAGTTTCAGTCACAATACCAGCCTGATGAATCACCAGAGTACCCACACTGGAGAGAAACCTTTTGAATGTCCTGATTGTGGAAAAAGTTTTAGCCAAAATTCCCACCTCATGAGACACCAGAGGACTCACCCAGGAGAGAAACCCTTTGAATGTCCCATTTGTGGGAAAAGTTTCAGTGAGGATTCCTATCTCATAATACACCAGAGGACTCACACAGGAGAGAAACCCTTTGAATGTTCAGATTGTGGGAAAAGTTTCAGTCGAAATTCCTACCTTATGAACCATCAGAGGACTCACACAGGAGAGAAATCCTTTCAATGCCCAGATTGTGGGGAAAGTTTTGTTAGAAATTTCCACCTCATGAGACACCAGAGGACTCACACAGGAGAGAAACGCTTTAAATGTCCGGATTGTGGAAAAAACTTCAGTCAAAATTCCCACCTCATGAGACACCAGAGGACTCACACAGGAGACAAACCCTTTGAATGTCCTGATTGTGGGAAAAGTTTCAGTCAGAATTCCCACCTCATTAACCACCAGAGTACTCACACAGGAGAGAAACCCTTTGAATGTCCTGACTGTGGGAAAAGTTTCAGTCGAAATTCCCACCTCATGAATCACCAGAGGACTCACACAGGAGAGAAACCTTTTGAATGTCCTGATTGTGGGAAAAGTTTTAGTCGTAATTCCTATCTTGTAATACACCAAAGGACTCATACCATGGAGAAATCTTTCAAATGTCCAGTCTGTGGACTTTACTTCAAGCATAAATCATACCTAATTGCACACAAGGAAATCCACATGAGGCAAAGGTTGAGTTTAGAGAAGTCTTGAATTTCATTTGTGATCTCCCATTCATAAAGTGTAGTTGAGAAATTGACTGTTTGAATTCTGGCCTGGTTCTTTTTCAAACTTTTCTCAGGATTAAGTGGGTAGAGAGAAAAAGAAAGTGGTCATCAGCAGAATCTTCTGGATATTTCCTTTTGCAGAAGTAGTGGAATTTCTCAAAAAGAATTTTGGATGGTTTTGTATGTTGATTATGGACCCACAAGTGGAATTTCACTACCTTGGTTTTGCTCAGATTTTAAGCCTCAGAATTCCCCACCAGCATAAAAATAGTCCTCTAGATAAAACTATTATGGTTCTTGCAATTACAGTTGTATGTTGCAACAACTGTTAAGTGAGATTGCTTTCCTTAACTACCCAAATCCCCCTGCTCTCCCTAAGGGAGTTACTAATCGAATGTGCAAGTTTAATAAATCAAATGTGCAAGACTTGTGGAAGTGGGTGCCATTTTGCCACACTGTGCACACTGTCATACAGAAGAGGGACAAATCTGTTTTGCTACCTTAACATAAGGGAAAAAATGTACAGTAGAAAATGTTCCTTTTGAATTATGTTACAATTATCAGTAGATTTTAACATGTAAAAATGGGTATTGTCAGTGTTGCTATGAACATTAGGGCAAGGCAAGATGCTCAGAGTTGCCTCAAACTGTGCGATGAGTATTAAGTTTAATAATAAATGAATTTAATAATAAAAAGGTAATGTAAAGCACATTTCCCAACTCTTTGTCAGTGATGATGACTCCATACATACAGTGGGTTTCTAGTGCACTACAATTATATGGTATACTTGGACTTCAGCAAGACATTTGACAAGATGAACTACAACTTACTTCTAGCTAATATAGAACAATGTGGGATAGACAAAACCTGCACCAGGTGGATTCGCAGTTGAGTGACAAACCACACTCATTCAATAGTCCTCAATGAAGTAGATCTACATGGAGAGAAGCATGCAGTTGGGTACCTCAAGGTTTGGTCTTGGGCCCAGTACTCTTCAACATCTTCATAAATGATCTAGATGAGGAGATAGAAGGGGAACTCATGAAATTTGCAGATGACACCAAGTTTGAAACTGAACAAGGAGAGATTTAACTTGGAAGTAAGGAGAAACTTTCTGACAGTGAGAACAATCAACCAATGGAACAGATTGCCCTCGGAAATTGTGGGAGCGCCATCACTTGAGACTTTCAAGAAGGGATTGGACTGCCATTTGTCAGAAATGGTGTAGGGTCTCCCGCTTGGGTGGGGGATTGGACTAGATGACCTACAAGGTCCCTTCCAACTCTTATTATCTGTTATTTGGGTGGAAGAACCAATATTTTAGTAGACTCAAGATCCAATATTTCGAGAGACACGAGCATTGGGCCAACAAAATCGGCAGAGGTGAGAAAAGTAAGGTCTTACCCTTAGGTAGGAAAAACCAAACACACAGGTAGAGAATAGGTACCGTGTTTCTCATATAATAAGGCTGGGTCTTATTTTTTTTTGAGCCCCGAAAAAATGGCTAGGCCATCTTTTTGGGGGTGACTTAATTCCCCCCCCCTTGCATCTTCGGGCAGGTGGCAACCGCTTGGATGTTGACCTCGGCATTGGTGGGGCACTTCGTATCGGGGTCAATGCAGGCAGCACCATATCCGGGTGTGCAACAAAAGTACTTCCTAATGGCAAGCCCCCCCACCATTCCCCCCATTTTACATGTTTTAATATAGGACTTAATTTGGGGGGAGGGGCTTAATTTCATTTCATGCCTATAAAACATGCTGGGACTTCCTATTGGGGGAGGCCGTATTGTTGGAGAAACAGGGTATTATCTTGTAAGCAATTAA